ATGGTGATGTGAATCTCAAATTCACATCACCATTAGAACATTTGTTTCACCGTTGCTACTAATAATTCACATGCGTAGATATTTAATACACAAAATTGTACCACTTTTACGTATTAAAATCAACTTCAAATTTACAAAACCATTATTTAAACGCCGCCGGTCAAGTTCCCGCCAACACTTTATTCCCCGTATTCCAACGGTAAAATACAGATTAAACAAGGCAATTAATTGGGAGAGACTATTATAACGGTGTTTATTACACCTTGATAAAAGAAATTTTTACTGTGTACTATTTCGGGATTTTAACTAAATATGAACCGACAAAACATCGATCGGAACGAAATCTACAACTATTCCATGATTTAGTGATATGATATGAGATTACTGACAAACACGGTGAATCCTTAACAATATACAAATCGTTATTGAACATAAATAAATTTTAGAATTAATACAAAATCAATAATAATAGATAGTTCCATTCCCAAATAACAATTATTGAGTGCAAATATTCCAAACTTATCCAAAATAAATTTTAGAAATTAAAATTGAATCTTTTTGAAGCGTGAAAACAACAAAGAATTTTAATGTTTTCACAAACAGTCACACTCAATTATTATAACCATATGTTAAAATCACATTATAATTTGGCATAACGTCTTTTATGGCCAAATATACTACATTACGCAGTATATTTTATATTACGCAGATTTAGCAAACACTAAATATTATAGTAACTACTTAGTTCAGGTTAAAGTCTATGTGCAGATGGAAAATATTTTTTTATGTTAAATTCAATTAAAATGTCCTATTAAAAAGAAGAAAACACTTCGGTTGGATGGTGATGGAGAGGTGGAGAGGTATGTCTAGACGGGGCGCCAATCGCGGTCGGGTTCGCGCTTGACGTGGTAGTTGAGGCAGGGCGTGAAGTTGACGTGGATGGTGACGTGATGGAGAGGTGGAGAGGTATGTCTAGACGGGGCGCCAATCGCGGTCGGGTTCTCGCTTGACGTGGTAGTTGAGGCAGGGCGTGAAGTTGACGTGGATGGTGACGTGATGGAGAGGTGGAGAGGTATGTCTAGACGGGGCGCCAATCGCGGTCGGGTTCGCGCTTGACGTGGTAGTTGAGGCAGGGCGTGAAGTTGACGTGGATGGTGACGTGATGGAGAGGTGGAGAGGTATGTCTAGACGGGGCGCCAATCGCGGTCGGGTTCGCGCTGGACGTGGTAGTTGAGGCAGGGCGTGAAGTTGACGTGGATGGTGACGTGATGGAGAGATGGAGAGGTATGTCTAGACGGGGCGCCAATCGCGGTCGGGTTCGCGCTTGACGTGGTAGTTGAGGCAGGGCGTGAAGTTGACGTGGATGGTGACGTGATGGAGAGGTGGAGAGGTATGTCTAGACGGGGCGCCAATCGCGTTCGGGTTCGCGCTTGACGTGGTAGTTGAGGCAGGGCGTGAAGTTGACGTGGATGGTGACGTGATGGAGAGGTGGAGAGGTATGTCTAGACGGGGCGCCAATCGCGGTCGGGTTCGCGCTTGACGTGGTAGTTGAGGCAGGGCGTGAAGTTGACGTGGATGGTGACGTGATGGAGAGGTGGAGAGGTATGTCTAGACGGGGCGCCAATCGCGGTCGGGTTCGCGCTTGACGTGGTAGTTGAGGCAGGGCGTGAAGTTGACGTGGATGGTGACGTGATGGAGAGGTGGAGAGGTATGTCTAGACGGGGCGCCAATCGCGGTCGGGTTCGCGCTTGACGTGGTAGTTGAGGCAGGGCGTGAAGTTGACGTGGATGGTGACGTGATGGAGAGGTGGAGAGGTATGTCTAGACGGGGCGCCAATCGCGGTCGGGTTCGCGCTTGACGTGGTAGTTGAGGCAGGGCGTGAAGTTGACGTGGATGGTGACGTGATGGAGAGGTGGAGAGGTATGTCTAGACGGGGCGCCAATCGCGGTCGGGTTCGCGCTTGACGTGGTAGTTGAGGCAGGGCGTGAAGTTGACGTGGATGGTGACGTGATGGAGAGGTGGAGAGGTATGTCTAGACGGGGCGCCAATCGCGGTCGGGTTCGCGCTTGACGTGGTAGTTGAGGCAGGGCGTGAAGTTGACGTGGATGGTGACGTGATGGAGAGGTGGAGAGGTATGTCTAGACGGGGCGCCAATCGCGGTCGGGTTCGCGCTTGACGTGGTAGTTGAGGCAGGGCGTGAAGTTGACGTGGATGGTGACGTGATGGAGAGGTGGAGAGGTATGTCTAGACGGGGCGCCAATCGCGGTCGGGTTCGCGCTTGACGTGGTAGTTGAGGCAGGGCGTGAAGTTGACGTGGATGGTGACGTGATGGAGAGGTGGAGAGGTATGTCTAGACGGGGCGCCAATCGCGGTCGGGTTCGCGCTTGACGTGGTAGTTGAGGCAGGGCGTGAAGTTGACGTGGATGGTGACGTGATGGAGAGATGGAGAGGTATGTCTAGACGGGGCGCCAATCGCGGTCGGGTTCGCGCTTGACGTGGTAGTTGAGGCAGGGCGTGAAGTTGACGTGGATGGTGACGTGATGGAGAGGTGGAGAGGTATGTCTAGACGGGGCGCCAATCGCGGTCGGGTTCGCGCTTGACGTGGTAGTTGAGGCAGGGCGTGAAGTTGACGTGGATGGTGACGTGATGGAGAGGTGGAGAGGTATGTCTAGACGGGGCGCCAATCGCGGTCGGGTTCGCGCTTGACGTGGTAGTTGAGGCAGGGCGTGAAGTTGACGTGGATGGTGACGTGATGGAGAGGTGGAGAGGTATGTCTAGACGGGGCGCCAATCGCGGTCGGGTTCGCGCTTGACGTGGTAGTTGAGGCAGGGCGTGAAGTTGACGTGGATGGTGACGTGATGGAGAGGTGGAGAGGTATGTCTAGACGGGGCGCCAATCGCGGTCGGGTTCGCGCTTGACGTGGTAGTTGAGGCAGGCCGTGAAGTTGACGTGGATGGTGACGTGATGGAGAGGTGGAGAGGTATGTCTAGACGGGGCGCCAATCGCGGTCGGGTTCGCGCTTGACGTGGTAGTTGAGGCAGGGCGTGAAGTTGACGTGGATGGTGACGTGATGGAGAGGTGGAGAGGTATGTCTAGACGGGGCGCCAATCGCGGTCGGGTTCGCGCTTGACGTGGTAGTTGAGGCAGGGCGTGAAGTTGACGTGGATGGTGACGTGATGGAGAGGTGGAGAGGTATGTCTAGACGGGGCGCCAATCGCGGTCGGGTTCGCGCTTGACGTGGTAGTTGAGGCAGGGCGTGAAGTTGACGTGGATGGTGACGTGATGGAGAGGTGGAGAGGTATGTCTAGACGGGGCGCCAATCGCGGTCGGGTTCGCGCTTGACGTGGTAGTTGAGGCAGGGCGTGAAGTTGACGTGGATGGTGACGTGATGGAGAGGTGGAGAGGTATGTCTAGACGGGGCGCCAATCGCGGTCGGGTTCGCGCTTGACGTGGTAGTTGAGGCAGGGCGTGAAGTTGACGTGGATGGTGACGTGATGGAGAGGTGGAGAGGTATGTCTAGACGGGGCGCCAATCGCGGTCGGGTTCGCGCTTGACGTGGTAGTTGAGGCAGGGCGTGAAGTTGACGTGGATGGTGACGTGATGGAGAGGTGGAGAGGTATGTCTAGACGGGGCGCCAATCGCGGTCGGGTTCGCGCTTGACGTGGTAGTTGAGGCAGGGCGTGAAGTTGACGTGGATGGTGACGTGATGGAGAGGTGGAGAGGTATGTCTAGACGGGGCGCCAATCGCGGTCGGGTTCGCGCTTGACGTGGTAGTTGAGGCAGGGCGTGAAGTTGACGTGGATGGTGACGTGATGGAGAGGTGGAGAGGTATGTCTAGACGGGGCGCCAATCGCGGTCGGGTTCGCGCTTGACGTGGTAGTTGAGGCAGGGCGTGAAGTTGACGTGGATGGTGACGTGATGGAGAGGTGGAGAGGTATGTCTAGACGGGGCGCCAATCGCGGTCGGGTTCGCGCTTGACGTGGTAGTTGAGGCAGGGCGTGAAGTTGACGTGGATGGTGACGTGATGGAGAGGTGGAGAGGTATGTCTAGACGGGGCGCCAATCGCGGTCGGGTTCGCGCTTGACGTGGTAGTTGAGGCAGGGCGTGAAGTTGACGTGGATGGTGACGTGATGGAGAGGTGGAGAGGTATGTCTAGACGGGGCGCCAATCGCGGTCGGGTTCGCGCTTGACGTGGTAGTTGAGGCAGGGCGTGAAGTTGACGTGGATGGTGACGTGATGGAGAGGTGGAGAGGTATGTCTAGACGGGGCGCCAATCGCGGTCGGGTTCGCGCTTGACGTGGTAGTTGAGGCAGGGCGTGAAGTTGACGTGGATGGTGACGTGATGGAGAGGTGGAGAGGTATGTCTAGACGGGGCGCCAATCGCGGTCGGGTTCGCGCTTGACGTGGTAGTTGAGGCAGGGCGTGAAGTTGACGTGGATGGTGACGTGATGGAGAGGTGGAGAGGTATGTCTAGACGGGGCGCCAATCGCGGTCGGGTTCGCGCTTGACGTGGTAGTTGAGGCAGGGCGTGAAGTTGACGTGGATGGTGACGTGATGGAGAGGTGGAGAGGTATGTCTAGACGGGGCGCCAATCGCGGTCGGGTTCGCGCTTGACGTGGTAGTTGAGGCAGGGCGTGAAGTTGACGTGGATGGTGACGTGATGGAGAGGTGGAGAGGTATGTCTAGACGGGGCGCCAATCGCGGTCGGGTTCGCGCTTGACGTGGTAGTTGAGGCAGGGCGTGAAGTTGACGTGGATGGTGACGTGATGGAGAGGTGGAGAGGTATGTCTAGACGGGGCGCCAATCGCGGTCGGGTTCGCGCTTGACGTGGTAGTTGAGGCAGGGCGTGAAGTTGACGTGGATGGTGACGTGATGGAGAGGTGGAGAGGTATGTCTAGACGGGGCGCCAATCGCGGTCGGGTTCGCGCTTGACGTGGTAGTTGAGGCAGGGCGTGAAGTTGACGTGGATGGTGACGTGATGGAGAGGTGGAGAGGTATGTCTAGACGGGGCGCCAATCGCGGTCGGGTTCGCGCTTGACGTGGTAGTTGAGGCAGGGCGTGAAGTTGACGTGGATGGTGACGGGGTGCAGCGCAGCGAGCGGCGCGCGCGCGTCCAGCGCATCACACGCGCTTAGCTGCCGCGACACGCACGCGTACTCCACGCTCAGCGGCACGTAGTACTTGCCTAGACGGTTAAAAATTGTTATTACACAGCTCATCCCAATAAAAAAAGACAGAACACTATGTCGATTTCAAGTAAATAGGTTTACTAGATGATAGAACTTGTCTTTTACCTATATCTGCCGCCAAATAGTAGTGCTTGCAGTCTCTCAAGTGTAAAATTACAGGCTGTGACGAATTCCATCTTAGCCTTCAGAAGAGACAACATGTATGAAGTTATTTTTGCCTGAATCTGCAGGTGTCCATGACCTGCAGTAGCCATTGAACATCAGGTGGACAGTAAGTTCATTTGTCACTTCATATTAATAAAACAAAGTGACTTCGAAACCATCATGCACGTAATGTGAAAACATCGAAATCGTTTTATTTTTAACTTCATAAATGAATATCCTTTAATAATGAGCTATCCTCAGGAAAATAACTATCTCAGACATTTTTAAAACATAATAATTTATGGAGACTAAGATCAAAAAAGGGCTAGGTATTGATCCTTCAGGTACACCCAGTTTAATCACACGTCTCGGTGACACTACACCGTTAATTTTAACATTTACTCCCGGTTTGAGAGATATGATAGTAAAAGAACGAGTAAGTCCACTACCATCTCGAGACGGCGAAGCCGGCCTTGCTCTTTCTGACCGAGACGCAGGTGTCCTCTCCGGCTGATATTTCGTATCTCTCCTACCCGGGGTACAAATTGGAGCACTCCTTTGTGCCTCGGGCTGGAGTTTGCGTGTATGTCAGACAGAGGTTCATCTGTTCTCGACGCCTCGGCAGTCTTGAAGGTTCGGACCTGTCCATCCTTTGGCTACGCGTAGACAGCGACGACCATCCGCGCGTCTACGGGTGCCTCTATAGGTCCCATAGCGGTAATGCCGAAACAGACCGACTCATTGACCACGTCCAAATAGCTACAGATTCCTTGCTACAAAAGGTCCCATCCGCAGAGATCGTGATCCTTGGCGATTTTAACGCCCACCACGTCGAATGGCTCGGTTCACGTTTAACCGATCATGCGGGGAGATCTGTTTATGACTGCCTTGGCATATGGTCTGACACAACTGGTTACTTCGCCTACGCGGATTCCAGATGTGGAGGATCATACACCTTCTCTGTTGGACCTTCTGCTGACCTCTCATCCGGACGGATATCAGGTTTCCGTCGATGCCCCTCTCGGCTTATCGGACCATTGTCTGATCCGGAGTGTGGTGCCACTCACGCTCCCCTCGCGGTTGCGTTCTGCAGGATGCCGCCGTGTTTGGCATTACAGGTCGGCGGATTGGGACGGAATGCGGTATTTCTTTGCTTCATACCCATGGGGGCGGGTTTGCTTCTCGCCGGATGATCCCAGCGCTGTTGCTGACTCTGTCACTGATGTGGTGCTACAGGGAATGGAATTATTTATTCCATCATCTGTGGTACCCATCGGAGGCAGATCTCAGCCTTGGTTTGGTCGCTCCTGTAAGACTGCATTACGCAGTAAGCAGGAGTGTTATCAAGCCTGGGATGCGGCTTCGGCGACTCGGGATGTAAACACCAGCACACTTTAAAAGAAGTATAACTTCGCCTCCAGGTTCTTCAAAAGAGTTATTGCCAAGGCAAAGTCAGAGCACATAGGCAGAATTGGCGAGAAACTAGTTCGCCTTCCTTCGGGAACCCGTGCATTCTGGTCTCTCGCCAAGGCTGTCCAAGAGAATTTCTGTAAGCCATCACTACTATCTCTGCACAGGGAGGACGACTCACTGGCCCAAGCCGCAAAAGACAAAGCCGACCTTTTAGGCTCCCTTTTTGCGTCCAACTCGACTCTTGATGACGGGGGGAAAAACCGCCGACAATCCCGCGGTGTGTGCTCCATGCCGGATGTGCTGTTCTCACAGCGCTCGGTTCGCAAAGCACTCCTCTCCCTGGACATTCAGAAGTCGAGTGGGCCTGACGGAATCCCCCCAATTATGCTGAGGACGTGTGCTCCGGAGTTGGCAACGGTCTTACCACGTCTTTTCCGGTGCTTCTACTCCCAAGGCGTAGTCCCGAATTCATAGAAGACAGCTTTTGTCCACCCGGATCCCTAAAAAAGGCGACTGCTCAGACCCGTCCAACTATAGGCCTATCGCCATCACCTCCTTGTTCTCCAAAATAATGGAATCCATTATTAACAGCCAGCTCATGCGGTACCTTGAGGATCATCAGCTGATTAGTGACCGCCAATACGGTTTTCGTCGGGGTCGGTCAGCTGGTGATCTTCTGGTCTACCTGACCCATAGATGGGCGAAGGCAGTAGAGTGCAAGGGGGAGGCGTTCGCCGTTAGTTTGGACATTGCGAAGGCCTTCGATCGGGTTTGGCATAAAGCGCTTCTTTCGAAGCTCCCTTCCTATAGGCTTCCCGAGAAATTGTGCAATTGGATCACCAGCTTCCTTGCAGATCGGAGCATCAAAGTCGATGTAGACGGTGCACGCTCCGGCTACAAACCTATTAACGCTGATGTTCCACAAGGCTATGTGCTATCACCAACGCTGTTTCTTCTGTATATTAATGATATGTTGCTAACTGATAACATTCATTGCTATGCGGATGACAGCACTGGTGATGTTTTATACACCGGCCGTGCCAATATTTCTCGGGAAAACGTCGCTGAGTACCGGAACAAACTTGTGTCTGAAGTCGAGGCTTTGTTGAACAAAGTCTCGGATTGGAGGCGACTAAATTTAGCCCAGTTTAATCCTCAGAAGACACAAGTTTGCACGTTTACCGCTAAAAAGAACCCATGGCTCTACCACGTTTAATATTACATAACAAACTTTAAATATAATATATTTAAAGTTTTATTTTATTAAAATCACTAACATATCACATTTCACAATGTATAGACAATAAAACTAGTATTCGCAATCGTAACATTGTGACGACGTTGTTTTATCATTAATGGTTTACGTAAACTATGTTCAACTTAGATCGAAAAGTCAAAAGGCGGATTTAACTCTGCAGAATAGCGTTTAGGCAATTACAAAACTCTTCTCTTCACGTATACTTCAAAACGTGAAAACAAGACTATCTAAACAGAACGTGTTGCCAGTGATGTCATAAAGATTCTGTACATGGTAGAGCCATGTTGTAGCTTGTGTGTTCTTCATTATGGTTGTAGCAAGAATGGGTCGGCTCGACCCGGGAAGGACCACGCTCTCACAGAATACCAGAGTAAAATAGTAGCTCAATGCTGCTGTGCTTCCGTGCTTCGTATGGTTAGTGTAGAGAAGCGGAGAACCTTTTAACTAGAAACGAGGCATTTTATCTTAGTCCTCAGGGGTGGCAACGCATCTGCATTTTGATTCTTAATCGAAGATTGATGTAGACGTCTATCGGCCACAGCATCCACTTAATATCAGGTGGACTGTGCATGTTTGACATATATTTCTATAAAAAAAATGGATATGGGGCGTGGTCCTAAAATAAACTTCTGGACGGGCTCAATGAGGATCCATGGGGGCGTCGATACAGGATAGTGCTGGAAAAACTCCGGCCTTGGTCACCCCCTTTGACGGAGCATCTCGATTCGAACCTGCTGGGATGGGTGATCAGCATGCTTTTCTCTGAGGACCGGTCTTGTCCCTCAAATCAGACACTGCCATCATGAAAGTAGCAAAAAGAGATGCAGTTGACTGTGGAGAAGTTGGACCAAGCTATTAGCCGCTTAAGACCCGGAGCACCGCACCAGGACCCTACGGAATCTCAGATCGGATCCTGGTGCTTAGCCTGGCTGTCCTGGGGGACATGCTTAGGCAGCTGTTTTCCAGCTATCTACACTAGAGTGTCAAGATCCTTACAGCATGAAAAGAGGCATGGTTAGTCCTCTTGAAGAAGGAAGACAGGGCCGCCGATTCTCCTTACAAAAACAAGGAGTATCCCAGGGAGGCGTGGCTTTGGCAATAACTCTCGACATCGTCAACGCCTTTAACTCTCTACCCTGGGACGCAATCAGGAGGGGACTGGCACATCATCAGGTACCCCGATACCTGCAAGGTATCATCGGAGACTACCTGTGCAGCAGGTGAATTCTGTACATGTGGTAGCAAGTTCCAGAGGGTGATACAACATGGCAGTTCCATAGAGCTCGGTTCTGGGGCCTCTACTGTGGTACCTCCCCGATTCAACCTACCCGATGGCATAAATATCATGTGCTATGCAGACGATACACTGGTGGTCGTCAGCTGAGTCAAGAGAGATACTTCGAGAGGGCCAATCAACTCACCGAGCTCGAGATGAAAGTCGTCGTCGTCAAAATCCACGAGTTGGGCCTGGAAATAGCGCCTCATAAGACAGAGGCTTCATGGTTTCACAAATTACCACAGGGGGAACCACCCGCCTCGTGCGTCTACGTGGGTGGGGCTCCACATGTATAGGTGCTGGGGTTTCGAAGAACACTTCAAACGTCTCGTCTCCCGGATTGAGAGGATAGCGGGTGCTATGAGTATTTATTTATTTGTTTATTTTGCATAATGTGTGTGTTTTACGGTTGTTATAGAAAATATAGTACAACACATTAACCATTTCTGGTGTACAAAATTATTGAATTTTATAATCATTAAGTATGACATTATGAATTAAAATAACAAAAAAAATACATACATTGCATAATAAATAGCAAAAACAAAAAAAATGAAAAGTGACCTAATTAAAAAAAACATTTACTACTATTTGCATTATCATATCATTATTATTTATAATTTCGTGTCACATTATAATATATAATTACCAAAATATTATTATTTAAAAAAAATTAAAGATAATTATTGTTTTTCCAACAACTCGCTAAGCGAATAAAAAGATTTATTAACTAGCCACTTTTTCAACTCGTTCCCGAAACGCTTTCTTGGTAGTAATTTTATATTATTGGGTATTGCGTTAAATACTTTTATGCACATTGCATAGCAATTTCTATGATAATTTACTGTTTTTGGTATTTTATCAATGACTAATTTATCTGGATTCCTTAAAGGTTTGGATTTGAT